CGTAACCCACGGACACAGGCAATAGTACGGGGAAAAGTCTGGGGGTGGGGCGGATGCAGGGTGGAGGGGATCAACGGGGGGAAGGGGACATCTGTAATACTTTCAACAATAAAGAAATTTTTAAAAAACCAAAATCTTAAAATAAAAGTTGAAAGACAACAAAACAAAAGAACAAAACAAAGATTACCTCACTGGATCTTCTCATCAAGGCTAGTAGGTAAATCTCATTACTTACTTCTTTTTACAGATCTCTATCTGTAACTTTTTGAGGACCCTCCACGCTGTCAGAAACTGAGGTTCTGACAGGTTACATGAATAGCCCAACAAGCGTTATAACTCCGATGCCAGCTTACAGTTCACTTAGTCTGCTGATTTAAGAGTTCTGTGCCTTCACTCAGCTTTTTCCTCTCTCGTAAGGCCCTTCCCACCTTTCTTGGCTTGGTCACCTGTTGAGTCACTCAACACGCATCTCCAGACCTTTCTGGACCGGCAGGTTGGCCTCGGCAGCAACCTATGCATCACTCTCTTAGCAAGGGCCTAGTCTCAGGCAGCTTTGTATTCTCAGAGACTGGTACCGGGCTGGGCACCCATGAAGCACTTCACTTGCTCAGTTGAATTGTTACTGATTGTTGGTCTAGCATGATATTACTGACTAGGATTTATTTAGCACCTACTATGTTGAGTATAAACTGCACAGTGAAAGTAAGTAGGAAACACACAATAATGCCCCAATAGAAAAATGAGTAAGAGACAATGGATATTAACTCTCAATAAATGTATTTTTATTTTTAAATTTTTCTTTAATTGTTTTTAAATGTCTTTATTGACTTCAGAGAGAGGAAGGGGGAGAGAGAGAGAAAGAGAGAGAGAGAGAGAGAGAGAAACATCAATGATGAAGAGAGTCATTGACTGGCTGACTCCTGCACCCCCCCTACTAGGGATCAAGCCCACAATCCAGGCATGTGCCCTGACCAAGAATTGAGCTGCCATCTCTTGGATCATAGGTCAATGCTCAACCGCTGAGCCATGCAGGCAATAAATGTATTTTTAAAAAACAGCATGATGTTCATGCCTTTACACACATTATTTTATCTAATCCTCCCAACAGCCAAAAAAGGCAAATCCTATTATTATTCCCATTTTACAGATAAGAACCCTGAGGCTTTATGAGATGACAATGATATCACAGCCAGTCAGTGGCAGAACAAAAATTTAAACCCAGATCTCTGATAGAGCTCCTAAGCATTTTGCTGCACTGCCCAGTCAAATCTACCCCATTTAGCAAACGTTGTTCTGTCTACATTCTTAGGATTTTTATTTGAAGTAACTGTTAGCATCCCTATTTTCAAGAAGAAAGTCAAGTATCCTCAGACATCAATGGTAATGTTTGCTATAGACTTTCTTTAGGATATAAGATGAACGAGGTACAACATTAAAGTTAAAGGCTCTTTGGCCAAAACAATCTGCTCTCCTACTCCAGACAACCACTGTAGTTAAGAAAGAAGAACTATATTTTGCACCTATGTAAGTCACTAAACCCACTATTAGGAAAGAACAGTAGCCTTTCATATTAAAAACAGTATTATAAAGAGTACTGGAATAGAATTCAGAAGTTTTGGATTCTAGAGCCAGCTCCACTCATGATCATGGTAGGCAAGCTACTCCAAAACTCAGTTTTTGCACTGGTAAAATAGGGATAATCATCCCCAGCCTGCTTACTTCACCAATTGTCTGGAAGGGTCAAACTATCCCAATGCACACATTTTATTGGATGCTACCTCATTAACGATTAATGAACTTTAAACACCAGCTGTTCCACAGAGGTGGTTTCTTGACATGTGGACACAGATTGCTGTTCCCCAAAATGCTGCTTTATAACTTTGGATTAAGAGTAACCTTATCAAAATATAGTATCCTGCAAACAGCATATTAAGAGGAGCATAAGTTTGGTGAGAAAGAAAGCATAGCAGGGCTCTAAAGGATCTTAAAAGTGAAAAAGGAAAAAAAAAAAGCATTCAGTCTGCTTTGGAAAAAACAAACACACACTACTAAAACAAAATTCCCAACCATCAGGGAAAACAGAAAAGTTCCTATGGCTTTTTTGCCTCCTACCTTTGTAACTGATATTTGCCCTTAACACTAATTTTAACATAATTTCTGTGGTTAATGCTTGTATGGGATCTAAGAGAAAAAACAGTAATGCTTTTCTTCCTCCTTTAAGGGTCTGTCATTAGGACCTTTGAATGTGAAAGGCACTTGGATCAGGTCATCTCTCCAAATCTGCCATCCTGTTCATGAATCGTCTGGTGTTTGGTTAGCCAGCCACTGTCCTAACAACCCTCATTAAAGTAAAGTCACTACCTTACAAAGCTGCTATTTTCTGAATGTTCATAAGGGCTAGAAAATTCTTCCTTTTATGGAGACAAGATCAGCCACTTTGTAATGTACACCCATTGGTCTAAATTGTGCTTGCTGAGATTACACAGAGGAGTCCAACTCTTCTATAAGATAGCCCTGTGAATATTTTAAAATGATCATCCCACATCCTCATGCCTTTTTTCCAGGGTAAACTACTTCAGTTCCTCCAGCTGCTCCTCAAAGGATGTAGTTTCTAGGCCATTCATCATCCTGTTGCCCAACTTGGGCATACTCCAACTTGTTCACATCACTCTTAAAATGCAGTGCCCAGGAGGAAACACCATCCTCCAGGTGTGATCTGACCACTGCAGAGTGTACTCTGGGACTATTACCTTACTTGTCCCAGCCACCAGCCTTCTATTAATGTTGGTTCAAATCACATTTGCTTGTTTTGGCAGCCAGGTCACATCACTGGCTCAGGTTGTATTTACTGTCAATTAAAGCCCTGGGTCTTTTTTAATTTGAGGAGCGCTTAAGTCAGGGTACGCTGCTTTAGCCAAGAGCGTGACTGGATTCATGGCTCGACTGCTCTTCTAACGTTACCAACAACATTGAGCACAGGATTAAAAACATTCCAGACTTCTCTATTCATCCCTAACCAAACTCCTGGCATTTCAGCAATTTTCATAGTTTTAAAAAAGGAAGAAAGAGAAGAAAGAAAAAAAGAAATGTGAGCCTTAGATAATGGTGTGAATTGCCATGCCAAGTCTCTGGACTAAGTTTTACCAAAAGGACCTGAAGGGAGTCCAAATACCTGAGATATCCACCTACTTGGGAAGCCAGAGGACTTCCCTTTTGCTCTAAAGCTAAATGCTGCTGCAGCTGCTGGGCCATAACTACACTTGAGGTGGCAAGAAAATACACAGAGGCCCAAGTACCAATGTGTTATCAACAGAGAACTAAATTTACTGCCACATGCCTCTGAGAGACAAAGTGCTCAAATGCAGATCTTGAAGGGAGGATCCAGGCAAAGGAGACAATAAAACACACTGTTTGGTGCTTTCTAAATAGTGTTTATGAGAGCTTTTAAAAAAAGAAAATAAAGAGCTTTGGTTTTGTTATCTTTACATTCCTAATATCTATCTACACTCAGTACATAGTTAATGAATGAATCAATACACTAAAAAAAAAAAAAAAATCTCTTCCCGTTTGATAGAATTTTTCTTTCATGGACAGTTGTATGAACACATGAAAGTTAACATAGAAATGTTTCTTAAGTGTAGCTCACTCTTAGCTTATGAAAAGTAAAGATAGTAACACCTCACTTATTTGAAGGTTACTTTTCCAACTGTCTGACCCTGTTAGTGTCAGGGGACAGTTTTAATAGGACTACTAGTAGTCAAAATGCAAAACAGGAAAGGTAACCAGTGAAGTTCATGCTCTTTAATCAGAGAGATGTGAGGCCTTCGCACAGAAATTATTTTGTCTGAATTTACACATAATTCTAACAGATATGCTTGTCAGGTTTCTGAGACTAACCAGCAAATAAGAGTGAAGAGGCTGCTTGAAGCTGAGCATGGGAAGAGCAGAAAATAAAGGCTATAGGTTAACAGAATGGAAGGAAAGGAAAAAAGGAGTCAGAAAATAAAAACGTTCAGAAGGATACACAGTAAACTATTAACAGTGGTTGCTCCATGGGAAATAGAAATGCTGGGAAACAGAAGTGCTGGTGAATAGAAATAGGGAACTTTGCTTTTTATTTTACACAATTCTGTATTGTTCTAGTTATTTAGAAAGGGCATGGCCCGGCCGGGTGTGGCTCAGCGGTTGAGCATCGACCTGGGATCCAGGCCATCCGGGTTCGATTCCCGGTCAGGGCACATGCCCGGGTTGCCGGCTCGATCAATGACTCTCTCATCATTGATGTTTCTGTCTCTCTCTCTCCCTCTCCTTTCCTCTCTCTGAAATCAATAAAGATATATTTAAAAAAAAAAAAAAAAAAGAAAGGGCATGTATTGCTTTTGTAACTAAATATTAAGAGATAACAAGGGTGCCCTGACTGGGTGACTCAGTTGACTGGAGTGTTGTCTCATACACCAAAAAGGTTTCAGGTTCGATTTTTGGTCAGGGTACATGCGTTGGTTGCAGGTTGGAACCCCAGTCAGGGCTTATACAGGAGGCAACCAATCGATGTTTCTCTCTCACATCGATGTCCCTCTCTCTCTCCCCCTCTCTCTCTCCTCTCTCTCTAAAATCAATAAAAATGTCCTTGGGTGAGGGTTGAAAAATAAGAGAGAGCAATAACAAGAGTGTAATAGAGTTGCATAGGGTGTGAAAAAATTGGAAACCACTTAAATGTCCAACAATAGATGATTGACTGAAAAATATCATATATCCATTCAATAGACTGTTATGCAGACATTAAAAATGTCATAGAAGACCATTTTTAGCCAGAAAATGTTCAAAGTATATAGTTCAAATAGAAAAAGGTAGGTCATAAAACAAAATATAATAAATGATTCTGTTTTTATAAATTATTTGCAAACTAAAAAACACTGGAGTTGATAAAAATTTCTTGACGGAGGAGAAAATTTTTGTTTGGAATTAAACATTTCTTTTATCTGTAATATCTATGTAACTAGCTGGACACCTAGGTAATTGGAAGCACGGCGCCCTGCTGCTCGGTGTGAGAGCCACAGATGCCGGGACCTGGACCACCACTGTCACCACTGCCACCGTGAGTGATCAGCAGCTGGACTGTGCCTTGGACTTAATGAGGCGTCTGCCTCCACAGCAAATCAAGGAAAACCTCAGGGACCTGATCAACCTGGTCCCCAGTCTATGTGAAGATCTCTTGTCTTCTGTTGACCAGCCACCGAAAATTGCCAGAGACAAGGTAGTGGGAAAGGATTACCTCTTGTGTGACTACATCAGAGATGGGGACTCCTCTAGGTCACCATGGAGTAACAAGTATGACCCTCCTTTGGAAGATGGGGCCATGCCTTCTGCTCGGCTAGGAAGCTGGAGGTGGAAGCCAACAATGCCTTTGACCAGTATAGAGACCTGTATTTTGAAGGCAGCATATCATCTGTCTACATGTGGGATCTGGATCATGGCTTTGCTGGAGTGATCCTCATAAAGAAGGCTAGAGACGGATCAAAGAAGATCAAAGGCTGCTGGGATTCCATCCACATGATGGAAGTGCAGGAAAAATCCAGTGGCCGTACGGCCCATTACAAGCTGACCCCCACTGCAATGCTGTGGCTACAAACCAACATATCTGGCTCTGGCACCGTGAACCTTAGAGGCAGCCTTACCAGACAGATGGAGAAAGAGGAAACTGTGAGCGACTGCTCGTCACACATAGCCAATATCAGGTGCCTAGTATAGGATTTGGAAAATAAAATCAGAAGTCCACTGAATGAAATCTACCTTGGAAAAACAAAGGACATCGTCCATGGGCTGAGGTCTGTGAAGACTTTTGCAGACAAATCAAAGCAAGAAGCTCTTAAGAACAATCTGGTGGAGGCTTTGAAGAGAAAACAACAATGTTAAACACTCGGCTTCATGCTAACCAGACATGCCATGCACTCATTAGATTCCTTCTTAGAAAACTCATTTTCTGCTCCCTTCCCTAGTCCCTTCCCTCCCGGACAGGTCACACAACAACTTGCACAGCACTATCACAGAGAATAAAGTCACTAAACACCCTTCTCTGTCTCCAAAGTCTGCTTCCCACCACATTTTGCTATCAAAACTGAATGTTTCCATAGAGACTGTGTGTTTTGTTTGCCCAGCCCCATGTCCCCCACCACTACCCATTTATAGGCATAAAATACATTGTCTGCCTGACTCCCCCTTCCTTCCCACCTTTTTGTTACATTGGTGAAATAATGTAAAACAAAAAACTTATGAAATAACTGTGGTGTGTGAAAGATAGAAGAAAAACTGGAAATCTGATTCCACAAGTGTTTGGGAGTTGCTTGGGGTTAGGGGTCAGGGGAACAGGGGATGGCTCTGGGAGAAAGGAGAGGTGGCCCTCAGCATTGTCTTGCACTGACTGGCCCCGTCCCACGGAGAGTACATTGTGGGGTGCAGGGGGTGGGGCCTGAGGATCGTACTGCTCTTCTGGCCATGTGCTTTTCTGTCAATTTTTATGGAATGCAAAAGGAGTTTTGGTTTTATTTTGGTTTTGTTTTGTTTTTTTGTAAAGCTTAAAAAAACTACATCTTATATTTGAGCTTCTATACTTACAAAGGGAAAAAGATAAAAAAGAAATAGGAACACAGTTAAAAATATATATGTAACTAAAAGCTTTATATATATGTCTGTGCACACACACACATATATAAAATAAGAAAACAGCTAAAATGGAAGAGAAAGAAATAATTAAAATGTTTTCATTAATATCTTTGTGGCAGAAACTGCAACGTCACTGTAAGGGCTAATTTTATGTGTCACCTTGACTGTGCCATGGCGTGCCCAGATCTTTGGTTAATTATTATTCTGGGTGTGTCTATGAGGGTGTCTTTAGATGTATTGGTAGACTTGAGTAAAGCAGGTTGCCCTGCCCCATGTAGGTGGGCCCCATGCGATCTATGGAAGCCTAAATAGAACAAAAAAGGCTGAGTAAGGGAGAATAAGCTCTCTGCCTGACTTCCTTCGAGTTGGGACACTGGTCTTCTGCTTTTGGACTCAGACTCAAACTGGACTGCTCAGGTTTCCTGGTTCTCAGGCCTTTGGACTTGGACCCATACCATTGGCTCTCCTGAGTATCCAGCTTGCTGCTTGCAGACCTTGGGACTTCTCAGCCTATACATATTTTTATTTAAAAAAAATGTTTTTTGATTGATTTGAGAGAGAGAAAGGGATATAGAGAAAGAGAGAGAGAGAAACATCGGTTTGTTGTTCTACCTATTTATACATTCATTGGTTGATTCTTGTATATGCCCTGACCAGGGATTGAACCCACAGCCTTAATGTATTGGGATGATGCTGTCACCAACTGAGCTACCTGGCCAGGACCCATACATCTTTTTAGAGATCTCCATGTTATTGAACAATGGAGGAAAGGTGACCCTTGTTATAAAGTGGCCAGAGAACTTGGCTGAACTATATTTTAGAGTTTTGAACAAAGTAAAACTTGCAAACCATGAAATTGGTTAGTTAGCTCAGGTGATTTCTAAACGAAGTGTTGACGGAACAGTTGGATTCTTCCTGATTGCTTACAGTAAAACACAAGAAGAGAGAAACGAATTGAAGAAGGAATTGTTAGGTGAAAGTGACCCAGAACTTAAAGATTTGTAATATCCTCACTCTATTCATACTGCAGAAAATAAGAAAGATTGTTCTGAAGAGAACATTAGGGTGTGGCCAAACAACAGGTTGATAAGATTAGTGTGGGGGTGAATCACAGACCTTATCAGCCGCCCCAGCACAAAATCAAGGAAGGCTGTCAGACATCTTAGACCCTACTGAACTGGACTATAGAGCTAGACAGCTGTAAATGTGTGCTATTCTTTAAGAAGGAGGAAAAATGACCACAAAGGTGATTCACAGATCATCAGGGCAGCCTTGTCAGTTTCAAGGAGGAGAAGGGAAGGTGTGTGCCTGTGTGTGTGTGCGTGCGTGCATGTGTGTTATGACTGTTTATTCAGATTCAACAGTCCAGACAGCAGCCACCTGCATGCAGCCTTGGGGGCTGGGAGTGGTGGGGGTGATGGATAATGGCCTTTGGGAGTGCAACCCCACCTGGCAGACCTGTAGAGGCAGGATCACCACCCCAGTGGGTCTGGAAAACAGAGCATCGACCAGAAAGGATTTTTCTCAAGCCTCAAGATCTAATGTTATTTGACTTCCCAGATTTTGGAATTACTTGTGATCTGACAGCCTTTGTTTCCTTCCAATTTCTTCCTTTTGGAATGAGAAAGTCTATGCTTTTCCTGTCCCCCCATTGTATTTTGGAAACACGTAATTTATCTGGTTTCATAGATTCATAGCTGGAGAGGAATTTTACCTGAGGATGGATCATACCTCCCTGTAGCACCCGTTTCTGATTTAGATATTTAGATGAGATTTGAACTTTAGACCTTTGAGTTGAAGTTAAGATTTTTGGAACTATTAGGATTGAATGAATGTATTTTGCATGCAAGAAGGACGTGAATTTGGGAAGCCAGGGATAGAATGTTATGGACTGATTGTATGTATCCCCTGCAAATTCGTATGTTGACGCTCTATACCTAATTCAATGGTATTTGGAACTGTAAGATAATTAAGTTTAAATGAGGTGATGAGGGCGGGGCCCATGATGTGATTAGTTTACTTTTAAGACCAGACCAGAACTCCCTCTGTCTCTCTACCATGTGAGGACATAGCAAGGAGGGGGCCATTTGCAAGCCAAGGAAGAAAGCACACACCAGGGAACCAAATCAGCCAGCACCTTGATCTTGGACTTCCCAGTCTCAAGAACTGTGAGAAATAGCCTTAGTCAGTTTAGCCCAGTGGTTAGAGCATCAGCCTGGGGACTGAAGGGTCTCGGGTTTGATTCCAGTCAAGGGCACGTACCTGGGCTGCAGGCTCCATCCCTGGCCCTGGTTGATGTGTCTCTCTCACATCGATGTTTCCCTCTCTCTCCCCCT